GTACCAACCAACATCAGGCAGTTCACAACCACCTATGACACCATCTCCTGGGTATCTGATGCCTATGACCTCTATGGGCACTGTACTTGCCCTTGCCAGGCAAACATGAGGACCTTTGTTTGGATGCTCAGAACCCACACAAAGTTGGATAGTAGTAGCATCTGTAACTCTAATTCTCCTATGGTGAGATGGGAAACGGAGACAGGAGAATCCCTGAAGCTTAAGGCAAACAACTGAGACCCTGTCTCAAACAAGATAGAAGGTGAGGTCAGTCACTCAGTGTTGTCATATGTGTAGGGGGGAGAGCTGGGGAGGTTGAATAAGAATGACCCCCATAGGTTCATATATTTGAATGCTTGTCACCACAGAGTGCTGCTATTTAAAAGGATCAGAAGGATAAGGAGGTTTGGCCTTGTTGGAGGAAGTGTGTCACTGGGGTTGGCCTATAATGTTTCAAAAGCCCATGTCTCTCTGCCTGCTGATCAGGATGTAGTACTCAACTCCAGCACCATGCTAGCCATGCCTATGGCCATGCTCTCCATGAGGATAACAGACTCTGAAAATGTAAGCACACCCTAAATAAATGTTTTCTTTACAAGAGTTGTCTTTTTGATGGTGTCTCTTCACAGCAACAGAACAGTGACTAAGATACTACACAAAGACTTTTATTAAAAAAAAATAAAATCTCATGTGAAAACTGGTGACACCTGACTTTGAGAAAGACACAGGGCTGGGTAGCATATGAGACACTCTGCCAAGAAGATAATGTGTAACATTTTAATGCTATATTTCTATTTGTTAGTTATAACTAAAAAAAATCAAGCTGTATACACAAGGATGTTTATCAATGTTTAATTTCTAGACAAGTGTTCTACCACTGAGCCATATCCCCAGTCCTCACAGTCTAATTTTTAAAAAATTATTACATTTATGCCAGGCAGAGGTGGCACATGCCTTTAATCCCAGCACTTGGAAGGCAGAGGCAGGCAGATCTCTGTGAGTTCTAGACCAGCCTGGTCTACAAGAGCTAGTTTCAGGACAGGCTCCAAAGCTACACAGGGAAACCCTGTCAACACCCCCCCCAAAAAAAATTACATTTATTTGTGTGCGTGTGTGTTCATATGCTCATGCCATGAAACAAACAGAAGTCAGAGGACCTTTCAAAATCAGTTCTGTCCTTCCACCATGTGGGTCTTGGGGATTGAATGCAGGTTAGTCTTGGTGGCAAGAGTCCTTACTTGTTGACTCATCTCATTGCCCTTCAATGTTCAATTTATGACGCAATAACAATAATAAAAAATGATGATTCACAATATAAAACTGGCCAGAGTTTATGGTATAACACACGACATTATTCTAATTTTAAAAGATGCATATATAAAATACATAGACAGCCAGGCAGTGGTGGCGCACGCCTTTAATCCCAGGCACTAGGAGGCAGAGGCAGGTGGATCTCTGTGTGTTTGAGGCCAGCCTGGTTTACAGAGTGAGTTCCAGGACAACTAGGGCTGTTACACAGAGAAACTCTGTCCTGAAAAACAAAAAACCAACAACAAAACCCATAGGTGATTAGTGGTCAGGCTGGCAAGATAGCTCAGTCTGGCCATTCCCACCACCAGAATCCATGTGCTGGGAGAAAACTGACCTCTAAAAGTTGTCCTCTGACCTCCGTGTGTGTCATAGCAAGGAAGTGCCCCCCATACTAAATAAATGGAATTAAATAAACACACACATGATATTAGAGGGGACTAAAATTTTATTTATTTATTTTTAATTTTCTGCCTTTTGCTCTTGTTTTTCAGTTACTTGAGTTTCAGCAGGACACTATTTTAATTTGACAGAAACATGCAAATTAGCAACAATGAATACATTTCACATATTGTATGGATATTGTTACATTGTCGTTACTACAGAGAAGATGAGAGCATATAATGTGAATAGTAACTTCACAATATAAGGACAGGGTTTCTATGTAACTTTGACTGGCCTAGAACTCACAATGTAGACCAGGCTGATCGCAAACTCTAAAAGGCATGTGCCACTACACCAAGCCTAGATAACTCATTTAAAAAAAAAAAAAAAAGATAACTCTGAGAACTTCTTTCCTTCCTTCCTTTCTTTCTTTTTAAAGACAGGGTCTCAAGCATCCCCCAGCTATCCTTACTCTCTACGTAGTTGAGGATGACCTTGAACTTCTGAACCTCCCACATCTCAGAAAGCTGGGATTACAAGTGTGTAATACCACATTTGTTTTATGAGGTGCTGGGGGTCAAACTCGGGCTTTCTGCATGCCAGGCAAGCACTCTGGCAACTGTGCTATGTCCCAGCCCTTCTAAACAGTTTTATTTTCTAAACAGTGAACACTTTCTGTAATGAACATCTATTATATTACTCATCAGTCAAGACAGTGCATTTGCAAAACTGAGACAAGATGGAGTTAGACAGAGGCCAATCTGGGATGCACAGGAGGTTCCACAAGAACACTATTTCTCAAAACATTAAAGAATGCATAACTTAAAATATGCAGGGAAAGAGGGACTGTGCCTGAGCACTAGCCTATTGTGCAGGGGTCCCGGGACTCAATTCCCATTGTTGTAAAATAATAAATAGATCTGTAAATGTCCAAAGGAAATATACCAAGTTAATTAACACAGGCAGGCAGCACATGGAACCATGGGGTGGGCCCTTTGACATCTATGATGGAGAAGATGTTCTCTTTTAAACTTGTTAGGAAGACCTAGCATGCTGTCAAACATTTTCTACTGTTCACTAAATAATAGGGAGGGGCATGATGAACACAACCAAGGAAAGGCCTTAAAATGGGGGCAGGGGACAAACACACAATGTCCCTGTTCAGCAACAAGACCTCACACTGCTCACTCATCAGCTCACATGGGATATGGCCCCAAATAAGACCCAATATCAGCTCAGTGGCCTCATTCCTTCACTTTCAAGTTTAAGCAAGAAGGGGGGCGCAGACAAGGAGAGAAACCACTCAGAGAAGTTGGCAGCATTTAACCTTCAACAAGTAAGAAAGGACAATGACAGAAGCCACTGTGCAAACACACAAGGGACTGCTTCCAACTGGCTTGTCACCTGCCATCAATGGCCATCAGCCACCACAGATGGAGGAGTGAGTGTTCGGTCCACAGGGGTGAACCCTGCCTTCCCTGGAACACACCAGCAATGATGGGCAGATTCCATGCAGAGGTAGCCCAGTCACTTCCATTCATTCTGAGCTAGGGACGTGGGCAAGGTCAAATCCAAGAGGCAATTCTGCCCAATGGAGGCAGCTTTCTACCAGGGCTCATCTGCCTGCCTCTCCCAGATTCCAACACACAGCAGAAAAGGAACCGGTGCACTGGGTGATGGCAACCAGATTCATTCTGAGGCAATCCGGGAGACAGTGCTAAATACAGTCCTATTATCAGGACAGGGACCAGTGAAACCCTATCCACCAGGACACAGCTCTCGTGTCTGACAAACGAAACACTCAAAACTGGGAACATGGGGGTGGTGAGATGGCTGATTGGGCAAAGGCATCTGCTGCCAAGTCAACAACCTGAGTTCCTCATGGTTAAAGAGAACAAGCTCCTCAAAACGCACACACACAAATATACATAAATGTAATCACACACACATACACATAATGTAATCACAATCACATACATATACATAAATGTAATCACACACAAACACTTATACATAATGTAATCACATAATACATAAATGGAATGAAAAATTTTTAAAGGAATATTGCAAGCTAGACACAGTACAAGCCTATCCACAGTCTTGGCACTTAGGAGGTTGAGGCAAGAGGATCTTGAGTTCCAGACTAACCGGGGCTACACAGCAAGACTCCAACTTGAAAAACAACAAAAACTTCTGAAGGGCCAGTGGTTGCACAACTGCCATCATACTTACCTTCACTTACCTTCACCCTGTTAAACACCCCCCCTCCAAATTAGACTTTCTTATTTTACACAAGAAATCACTGAGGGATGGATGGTGGTGGCACACGCCTTTAATCCCAGCACTTGGGAGGCAGAGTCAGGCAAATCTCTGTGAGTTTGAGGCCAGCCTGGTCTATAGAGCAAGTTCCAGATCAGTCAGGGTTACACAGAAAAACCCTATCTCAAAAAATGGGAGGCAGGGAGGGGAGGGAGAGGAAGAGGGAGAGGGAGGGAGGGAGGGAGGGAGGGAGGGAGAGAGAGAGAGAGAGAGAGAGAGAGAGAGAGAGAGAGTCACTGAGAATAAAAAATAGGTGCTGGTGTCATAGTGACCTGGGCAGTCAAAGACAACTGCTCTCCAATGGGTGGAAGCTATACCAGATGTGGACCAGCTGTCACCCATAAAAAGAAGAGCAGACCATCAAAAGGTATCAAAAGGTACCAAAAGCACCAAACAGTAATAGCAATCTTTTTGGTTTTTCAAGACAGGGTTTCTCTGTAGGTTTAGAGACTGTCCTGGAACTGTCTTTGAAGACCAGGCTGGCCTCGAACTCACAGAGATCTGCCTGCCTCTGCTTCCCCAGTGCTGGGACTAAAGGCATGCACCGTCCAGCAGTAATAGCAATCTTGAAGGAAGGAATGTTACAAGATGACCCGCACTTGGCCTTCCCTTACTTCCCTCCTTTTCAGGAGTCTAATTCTGTTGTTCAGGCTGTCTCTGCCCATGGAGTTCAGGCTGCCTCTCTCTGCTTATGGACTTCAGGCTGCCTCTGCCTGTGGAGTTCAGGTTACCTCTGCCTATGGAGTAAGACTACAGGCTCATGTCACTACTCCTAGCTCAGTTTGCAATATTTCCAGTGAAGTCATGGCAGTCCTGTGTGGGAAGCCACACAACACGGCAGAATCAGAACCTGTGCCTGACCCCTAAGTCTATACCCTTTCCAGAGTCCCATGTCACAGCAAAAGAGGCCCAACAGGGTCTTGCACACTATCTGCTAACTACCCCCACTTGTCCACCCACCCAGGTTCCATCCCTATGGAGACCTCTACCTTGATTGAGGTATGTCAAGGTCTCTTCATGTAGCTTCACAGCAGGAGAGGTGGCCGCACACAACACATACTGTAGGGGCGGCAGGCGGGCCCCATTCTCAGGAGATAGCTGTGGCTCCTCCTGCTTGAAGATGGGCAGAGCCAGCACATCACTGTAAAACACAGGAAGCAGTGGTCAGAAGTAAAGCCCAGGAACATAGAGCAATGTCAGGCAAGATGGGTGCAGACCATAGTACCAAGGATGACTTCAGAGTCCAGTGTGACACAAGCTGACCTAGCTCCTCACCCACATGGCCCAAATCTCAGATGCAACCACTACTGCATGGTCCTGGCCCCATTCAATGGCCCTCATGAGATCCAGTCACCCATGGCCTGGAGAAGGGAAAGTGTCTGAAACGTAAGCAACAGAAACCAGCAGCTATTCCTTTCTTTTTCTCTTAGAAAGCTATTTCTTTGTTTCCTTCCTTTCTTCTGGGGGAGGGATACAGTGCTCAGGGACTGAATCCAGAACCCTGTACCTGCTAAACAAGTGCTGTACTACTGAGCTACAGCTCCAACCAGGGCACCTGCTTCCTATCTGCAAGTACTCGCTCAAACATCTTTGAGAACAATCATCTGAACAACTCTTGTTCCTCTTTTTACATTATTTATTATTTACTGGGTAGGAGAGTGTATCAGCCCTGGCTGTCCTAGAACTCCCTCTGTAGAGGGGCTGGCCTCAAACTCACAGAGATCTGCCTGCCTCTGTCTCCTGAGTGCTGGGATTAAAGGAGTGCGCCACCACCACCCGACTTGGGGTTTTTGTTGTTGTTTGGTTTTTTGTTTTGTTTTGTTTTTGAATTTCCGACATGTATTTATTTATTTAGTAAGTTAGTTATTTGTATATGTGTGTGTTCCCACAGGCATATGTGATATGAACAAGAGGAGGATTTGGGGAGAGCTGGTACTCTCCCTGTATCTTGTGGATGGACTCCTGGGATTAAATTCAGGTCATTAGGCTTGGTAGCAAGCACCTTTACCTGCTAAGCCATGCTTAGGACCCATAGCCCCTGTTTTAAAGCTCAGAATGGTCTCTCCAAAATACTATGAAGATAGAAAACCTTGATTCCAGTTTTCTTACCCAAGCAGCAAATCTTAAAATACTCAGAGTTGAGGCAGGGAGTGTGGCACACACCTTTAATCCCAGCACTCCGGAGGCAGAAGCAGGCAGACCTCTGTGAGTTCAAGGCCAGCCTGGTCTACAGAGTGAGTACCAGGACTCCAAAGCTACACAGAGAAACCCTGTCTCAAAAAACCCAAACAAACAAAACCTCACAATTGTTTCCTTCACCTCTAAATAATGTTCCCTCCACCAAAAACATCAGCCCTGCCCCGGGCAGAAATGGTAAAGCATTTGTAAGTAGGAGGACCTATAAAGTCAGTCCCATAGCCCACAGCCTATAAAAGCTGATTAGTAATCCCAGTGCTGGGGAAATGGGACATGATGACCCCCAAGGCTCACTGGCCAGCCAGCTAAGCCTATTTGTCAAGTTTCAGACAAGTAGGGGACCCAGCCTCAAAAAACAAAGTGCATGGTACCTGAGGAACATCACTAAAGATTAGCTGGCCATAGTGGCCCACACCTTTAATCACAGCACTCAGGAGAGGCAGGTGGATGTCTAAATTCAAGGCCAGCCTGATTTACACAGAGAGTTACAGAGAGCTGTGTAGTAAGATGCTGCCTCAAAAAAACCAAATAAAACAATACTGAAGGTAGTCCTCTGGCCCTTACACTCATGCACATACATGCACACACACACCGTCACATACAAGTACACATCAATCAGCCTCCAATCACCCGGGTAGAAGAGAAATTTGTTTCTGAACTTTTCAGGAAAGTACCAGTATGTTGCCAGGGGCTAGCCTTGAACTCCCAGACTCAAGGCACCTCAGTCTGCCGAGTTACAGAACTTCAGACGAGTGTCCTTGCAAGGAACAATGAAATCCCTCAGGATCAGAATGACTAGCAGGCGTGCAAGATTTGCTTAAATATTCTAAACTATGTTGCCACAGAAACAGCTACCAAAAGGTGTCCCGCCCTATCTGATGACCCTCCTCCCTCCGTGGGTCTGGGCCATGAATCAGATCAGCTGACCTCACTTCACTGCATAGTTACCAGTACTATGTGTTCCCTGTATAGCATCATAAATGAATGTCCACGAAATATAAACCAGCACACACCCCAACAGTGTCTAACAAATCCTCAGAAAGCCTGTCTTTGAGCACACCTGGGAAACCATCCCCATGTGAGCTCTTCTTCTATTCCTGTTTGCTGCCTAGAGAGAGAGAGAGAGAGAGAGAGAGAGAGAGAGAGAGAGAGCAGGGTTGGCCAGCTGCAAACCTTTCTTTCCCATCTCCAGCCTGGGCAGTTATTAAGGAGCTCGGGAAGGAGCAAGCAGTCCTGCTCACCTAGGAATTGCATAATTTCATGTTTGTCCAGACCATGTTAAGTTAATAATCCATGCACTGTTACTTTTAAATTAAAAAAAAGAGGGGGAGAGGGTTAAGAACCGTCACTCAACACTAACTTGTTTCTGGCCTGGTGTCCTTATTTGCCAAGGAATAAAAGTTACCAGAACATCAAACAGAAAGGAGAGGGAGGGCCTTGAAGGCCACTCGCTGTTCGGTGAAGTCAGATGGCTTGCAGAACTTCTAGGAGAACAAAAACAATAATAATAAGGAGGACTGCAAGTTATCAAAATGGAAGAACAAGTGTAAGTCCCAGGGTCATCCTCCACTGTAAAAGAATTAAATTTTAAAAAGTTTTAAAGAGAAAAAAAAAAAGCAAAACAAAGAAAAATATCCTCACTCTAGCATGGGGGCGCAGGCCTTCAAGGAAGTCAAACTATTTGGAAGTAAAAATAAAAAAATAATAAACCAGCTTCCAAGAGGGGAGTATGGACTGTCTTCACCCATCGCTTCCTCAAAGGAACCAGTGCGGTTTGCAGTGGCTCTCAGCCCCAATGTTTGCCTTCCTCCTCCCATGCAAAGTCCAAATCCTAAAAGTATCTGAGTTGGCTTACAAACTACCATCTCAGGCACACATGCAAAAACCACACCTCTTCTCCCATAAAACTGTCCCCTAACAGGATCATGCATCTAGGTTTCAAATATGTTCACTTCAGCTCAAGGTCACCTTCAAATTCATTTTTAAGATAGGATGAGATACCTAATGGCAGGCCATTGACTACAATTCCAAAGAAACTACATGTGACCCTACAGAGTGTTGTAGGGTTAGCATGTATTTATTCTGTAGCATTTTAACTGTGGGCTTTGCATAACCCTTAACACACAGGGATCCACAGTCAAAACCGTATTGATTGCCACTTTCTATGACTTAGAGTTAAAACAAACAAAAACTGAACATACACCAGCAAAACATGGTCAGTCCTTGGCTTTCTAAGAAGGGGGTGTCTTCCCAGAGTTCTGGACATACATGAATTAGAAGCCAGGAAGTACAAATAACAGAAAATCCAAGCGGGGAATTTGGGGGTCCAAAGAGGCACTTAAGGTTCTGTATTTGGGGCTGACTTCTGCTTGCCAGTTTACTTTTTCCTGAGCCCATGTCCAACACCTTTTTGGTTAAGTAAGGCACATATAATAAACTGTGACTAGGATGAAATAAAGACAGGTTGAAGCTGGTTTTAGCGAGTTCAGAAAATGAAATGCCTGCCTATTAGCCCTCCAGTCAGTGGCACCACGGGTGGAAAAAAGAATCCCGTAGTCACCGAAGGCGGGGGTGGGGTCTGTTTTCAGAAACAGGGAGTTCAGAGAACTTTGGGAAACCCGCGGGACCCTCTTCCCTTGAAGCGCGCTAGAGAAATCCCCGCAGCAGACTTCGGTGAAGCCGGGACCTGGGGGCCACACCAAGCTCACCGTGGCAGGGACGGCCAGCCCCCAGAAGCCCGGGCCCGCAAGGCTGCAGCAGAGCCCTGCTCCCGCCACCCACCTGTGGGCCCACCGGCCACGAAGAGCAAAGAGTGGGGCCTGGCTTCCCGAGACACACGAGCTCCTGATAGATGTGGCAAGTTTATTTCTCCAACTGGAGAAGGGAGAGGGAAGGCTGCGGGACCGGGCCGAGAACGCTGCAAGCAACAGGGAGACCTCGGAGAGTCGCCCCTCCGGCATAAGCGCGCCGCCTCCCCGATCAGCCCCCCCCCCCCCGAGGTCTCCCGGAGGATCCCCCCCCTGGAGGCCGCACTGGTCCTCGGCGCCCTGACCCCGATCCGATCGCAGGCAGGTGCCGTCCGGTCTTACCGCAGGTAGCTGCCAGAGTTGTGCTGGTTGTAGTGTTCGGGCTGCGTGTGCCAGAACAGCATGGCTGAGGCTCCCGCAGCACCGGGCAGCACCGGCCGGGGCGGGGCACCAGGCTGACCACGGCGACGCTAGCGGCCAGCAGTCCACACCCCAAAGCAGCACTCGAACCCGAACTGCCAGCGGGCGGTGCCTTTTATGGGCCCCCAAGTGGGCGTGGTTATTGCAGGTCCGCCCCCACGGCTAGCGGCGGGGGGGCGGCCCTGGGCCGCCCCTGGCTGGGTTGTCCTCTGCTTTTCCGGGAGCTAGCTCCTGGCCACTGACCCTGAGCACACTGTCTCTCTCTCTGCGGCCTACTAGCCTCTCATCCCCAACGCTGAGCCCAGGGCAGATCCCCAGAGCCACGGGGCGGTTGTCAGTGGCAAAAGTACTGGCTCCCCTTAACGTTGCTTGTTTTTCCTTGCACTAAACATTGATGTTATGGTCTTTTTCTCTCCCGTGTCTTTTCTAGTCTTTAATTCCATGGCTAGGTGTTTATGTAGTTCACCGCTCACCTAATATATGCAAAGCCCTAGGTTCTAAACCCAGGTGCGGTAGAACAGACCGGTAATCCTAGCAAGAGTGGAGGCAGAAACATCACAAATTCAAGGCCGTTTTCTGCTACACATCGAGTCACGGAAATGAAGAACTTTCAATAAAATAAAATAAACCAGACCCCTGGGCCTGCTACTCAGAGCCCAGGCAGTACTTAGTTGGAGTCCAGATGTGCCTAAGAAGCATCTGAAAAGAAAGTAGCTATGGAGACCACAAGACTTGTGACAAACCTGCTTTGACCAGCTGGACTTGTGGGACCTACAGAAGAGTTTAGGAAATGGGGTGAAGTAGTGGCCAGGGCAACAGAAGCACAGGTGGCCGGGGTCTTTCCACTGTCTTCCCCACTTGCTTCCCCTAGGATTTTTTAGTTTACAGTTATCTCTCTCCCTCCCCACCCCTCTCTCTGTGTGTGTGTGGGGGGGGCATTGTATCTTGGTGTGTGTGAAGTTCAGAGGACAACTTGCAGGTGTTATTTCTTCTATCATGCCAGTCTGATGCACAAACTGAAGGAACCGGCTTCCCTTTTGGCAGCCAAAATGGTCGAACATGTGCTTCTATGACCTTGCCCTAGACACTAGAAAGTCAGATGCCTGTCTCGTGACAAGGAACCAATCAGAAGTTAGCTGGTGGCGCTATGCTTTACGACCCTGGCTGTGCTTTACGGACAAGCGCACAGCAATGACGTAGAGAGCATAGCAACCACCCTGGGAGGGCCTATGAGCCATAACAACCAGTTGACCAATCAACACAGGGCAAGCCCTCCAAGCCTAACATGGGGTTAGATCGTTAAATTACAATAAAGCCTCGTGCAGTTTGCAGCAAGCTCTCGAATCCGCCTGGTGATTGGGGTGACCTCGAACGTGGCCTGGGACCCCGAATACTTGAGTTTTCGGGGGTCTAACAAAACTAAGGTCTTCCAGATAGGCAGCAAGCACCATTACCCACGTGCTGTCTTTCGGGCCCTTTAAGGTTTTAATGTTATGTATAATTTGCTTTGGGAAAGGTGAGTGTGGCTGAATGTGAACAGTGGGCGCTGGCAGGTGGGAAGGTAGGAAGGTGTACAATTCCTGGAGCTGGACCCACGAGTGATGGCTGCCCTAGGACCTCAGTAAGGCATCCACTCTGCTTATGGGAAGTAATTGAATTAGTCTTTGGAGGAGACTGCATAGATACACAAGTCCTCCTTTCCATGCTGGCCCTGCTATCTCTCCAGCTGCAAGTTGCTACTCTGTGAGGAGCCATTGTGTCACTCCCTGTCTGCCTCTCCAGGGACCACCTCTGCTGCTCTGGATGTTCCTGGAAGTCACATGTCTCCAGGAGTTGGTCAACATTCCTGTGGCTATCACACCCATCTCTTTGGATGTATGACAATACAGAGACCATCTTAACCCCAGAGATCCCATGGAGAAACTGGAAGAAGCAATCACCTGTCTGTCCTTCCCACTCTCCCAGATGTTGACACTAAAGGATTCTGTAATGAACATCCTGACCACTAAGTTTCCCTTAGAGACCATGACAGGTGTGTGTGTTCAAGAAGAGAGCACCCCAGGAGAATGGCAAGGAACCAGCCTTTCCAGAGGGCTATCATTCTAGCAAGGCCAGTGGGTGAGCAGCAACACTAGCCAATGTCACTGAATAAGTAAAAACTTAGCCAGGCATGGTGGTTCAGGCCTTTAATCTCAGCACTTAGGAGGCACAGGCAGGTGAGTTTGGGGCCAGCCTGGTTGGTTTACAGAACAAGTTCTAGGACAGCCAGGGCTACACGGAGAAACCCTGTTGAGAAAAAAACAAACGACAAATAAAAACACAAGAAATAAAAACTGTTATGGGAATGGTGCGGGGTGGGAAGACAACATGACTTTGGAGGTTGCTAGGATATGTGTGAGTGAAAGCACAGAGCGATGGACTGTAGTAACAGTGAACAGAGGAAGGCTTCTGAGTGAGCACACATCACGTGCTAATGCTTCAAGAAAGGGAATCCACAAAGACAAACATGTGGCAAGGGCTCAGACTTCACTGCAGAGCTGTCAGGTATGACCTGTGTGGGGCTAATTTATCCCAGATTTTTTGCAACATGCTTCTCTATTGGTTCTCTCCCCTTCCCCTCCCAACTGGCTCCTTAAGATTCATCATGGAAGTAACAGCCCAGCCAGATCCCTAGGGTACCATCAAGCTTCTCCCTGTGCTCCAGCTCTGAAATAACAGCAAGTGTTCCATCAGAAAGGGGCACTCACCTGCCTTCAGGCATCCCAGACCCTCAGTGCTCCAGCAAACACAAAGATCAGTGTAAACACCATCCAAACAGCAAACTGAGGTGGCTTGCTGAATACTGGCCCTGAGAACCTAAAAATGGCTTACTTTCTGGGCTGTAACAAGCTTGAGGGGAAAGGAAATGCAGATCCTATTGTTCAAGTGTGTGGCCGGCAGTGACCACAAAACCTCTCTTTTGATTCCTGCTGGGAGGATAAAGATGAATTTCTGAGCTTTTGACTTTTCAGTCTTTTGGGACACAATTAGTCTGCTATAGATGGGACAGATATGCAGATAAGCCAACTTTTCCTGTCTTTATCTTGTAAATGTATGTGATTTGCATATGATCAGAATATTGACTTTATTGCTTTTTAAGAATTAATTTATTTGCAGGAGGGGACAAGACACAGACTTCCTATGGCTGTTAGAGGACAACTTGCATATAGTCAGTTCTCTCCTTCCAGTATGTGGGTGCCAGGGATCTAGCCCAGGTTGTCAGACTTGGAGGCAGGCACCCTACTCATTGAGCCACCTCACCAGGGGCTGGGATCTTCTTGATACATTCTCCCATCTTTATCAAAGAGTGAGGTTCAGGCGGTGGACACCACAGGGACTTGGGTCTAGTCTGTGCACCCAGGGCCCTGCTGTTTGTTGACCACAGTCCCTGTACTCCTGACCTAAGTTCCTTTCTTCACCCGGTACTGGGAAAAGCTTGATCAACATATGTGTCTGCCCTGAGACTCAACCCCAGGGTCCTTCAAGAACAAAAATAAAGCCTCCATTCCTTCAGAGTCCCCAGGAGTCACCCATTAAACAGTTCACAAGGGTCTCCCAGTTTTTCTTGGACACCACCATGACTCAGAGCCTGCCCTCTAAGAATATGATTCGAATGGGTGAATGAGCTCATGGCAGCCTGGGGAGGGGCTGGGATTTGACGGGAGGAAGAAGGTGTAAGCATATTAATGGATCAGGCGCAGCTGGGAGGGAGTCAGGGATGCAGTGGGCAGGGGATCCAGTCAAGCCAGAAGGCCTCCCATTGGATGCCTCGGGGACTCCAGAGATCAAATGGCACCAGGGCACCAAAGTGCCCTGCCCTGGATGAGACACGTCAGTCAGCTGGACATGTTGGCACCTGCCATGCCCTCTGAGCTTGAAGTCATCACTTTTGACAAAGATGTTGAAGCCTCTTGGGGCTGTCGAGTGTCTTTGGGTAGAGGTGCATGAGTGAACTTTGCCAGAGGCTCCTCTTGGTTGTGCACCTCTAATCCCTGGTCTGGTTACTTCAGCAGCTGTCACCAGTGTAGCTCATCATGAGCTGATTACAATTATTTTCAGTTGCAAGGAGCAGAAACCCAAAGTAAGGACAGGCAAGATAGCTCAGAAGATAAAGGTGCTTGTTGCCAAGCGTGACGATCTGAGTTCCACTCCTGGGATCCATGAGTTAGAAGGAGAAAACTGACTCATGCAACTTATCCTCTGACTATCACATGTACGTCATGCCATGTACACACACCAGCACATATATACACTTGGTACATATATACATATATACACACAATAAATCATAAAATGTAATAAAAAAGAAACCACAAATAAGTGTAACAAAACAGGAACTTACTGTGTTACACTTACTTATAAGTGTAATGTAACACAGCCAGTAGGGTACTTGCGGGGCATGCACAAAGCCCTGGATTCAATCCTCAGAACTCCATAAAGCCAGTCACGGTGATGCATGGCTATAATCCCAGCACCCTGGAGGTGAAGGCAGGAGGATCAGAAGTTCAAGGTCATCCTCAGAGAGTTTGAGGCCTTCCTGGGATACATGAGACACTACCTCAAAAAGGATAAAAGTTTAAATGCCAGAGAAAGGTATCCCTTCATCAAGTTTTAGAAGTCAATAGTCAAAACCGTTCACAAAGTGCCAGTGACCACTTGCATGCTGGGAATAAGAAGTACACACTAACTGCAAAGATGTGTGTGAAGAAATGGGCTAAGACATGGCTCAATTGGATAGTGTGATCTTACAATGCACAAGGCCCTGAGTCCATCCCCAGACTGACAAAAACAAGGCAAAACAAAAAACACAAAACTATACCATAACCTGTTAATAACTCATACGCCAACTAAAAGGACAATTATTTTTTGAAGAAGGGTCTCATGTAGCCTAGGCTTGCCTTGAATTCTTATATAGCCAATGATTATCTTGAATTTCTGATCCTCC